TGCAATTACTTTTTCACGTAGTGCCAGGCAGGTTTGGACAGCTTTTTTCCCTTAATAAATTAAATCATAATTTCAAAACTGCAGTTTGTATTTACTCAGGTTATCTTTGTGTAATATTAAAATTTGTTTGATGATCTGAATCTTTTAAGTGTGACAAATATGCAAACAATTAAAAAAACAGGAAGGGGGCAAAAACTTTTTCACACCACTGTATATATACATGCATGTGTGTATATATATTTTAACAAAAAAGTATTTTGTACAAACCAAGGCCCTTGGAGTCAAAAAGTTTGAACCACTATTTTAACAGCAGCCAAATAGGTTTGCTACTTTATACTTTAGATTCAGTTGTAATTGATACAATTATTTTACTCATACTTAGGGGTGGCCATTAAAAACCATCATGATATATTGCTGCCTCTGTAGTCACTATAAACACGTCAATGCTTGACACTCCATGTCCTTTACAGGTGAGAGGCCTTTCCGCTGCACTCAGTGTAACATGAGCTTCATTCAGAAATACCTCTTACAGAGACACGAGAAGATCCACAGTGGTAAGTTCCTCAAGTTCACACCAACTTCAGCTTTCATTTCCTCATATCTGGCTTATTTGTTAGCAAGATGTCGATCATGCTTCACAAGCCACTTCTGTTTTTATTATAAAATTTGCAAACCAAATTTGTTTGGTCCACAACTTATCTTTCCTTTCATGGATGTCTGGTTTCCAGGAGAGAAGCCATTCAGCTGTGACCAGTGCAACATGCGTTTTATTCAGAAGTATCACATGGAAAGACACAAGAGAACTCATAGTGGAGAAGGGAGGCCTGTGACTGACAGCACATAACCCCCCTTCGCCCTGTCTTTTTTTTCCCTTGGATTGCGAAGCCAAGGGCTATACACTAGAGGGCGCTGCATGCGAGCGTGTAAGTGCCTCTTGGCACAGCCAGATCATGGGATTCTTCTGCACCTATCTGGCTTGCTCATCCCTTTCTCCCTCCGTCCACTCCTCCTTTCCCTTCTTCGTCAGAAAGAATCCCATTTAGCACTTTTTTGATCCTGTTTATTTTACCCGGTGAATGAAACTACCCAGGCTGATCACATATAATGTGAACTGTGTAACTGACATGCTGTTTTTAAAAGGGGGCAGTGGACAGAAAAGGGGCGGGATTCATTTTAGGAAGCGTAGATTACGTTGACAAGACCAACGATGAGGTCTTTCTTATGGAAAACTTTAGTTTCAATGGGACGTGTTTGCTGGAATTAAGGGTGGGCTTTTCTTGGGGTTGCAATTACTTTTTCACGTAGTGCCAGGCAGGTTTGGACAGCTTTTTTCCCTTAATAAATTAAATCATAATTTCAAAACTGCAGTTTGTATTTACTCAGGTTATCTTTGTGTAATATTAAAATTTGTTTGATGATCTGAATCTTTTAAGTGTGACAAATATGCAAACAATTAAAAAAACAGGAAGGGGGCAAAAACTTTTTCACACCACTGTATATATACATGCATGTGTGTATATATATTTTAACAAAAAAGTATTTTGTACAAACCAAGGCCCTTGGAGTCAAAAAGTTTGAACCACTATTTTAACAGCAGCCAAATAGGTTTGCTACTTTATACTTTAGATTCAGTTGTAATTGATACAATTATTTTACTCATACTTAGGGGTGGCCATTAAAAACCATCATGATATATTGCTGCCTCTGTAGTCACTATAAACACGTCAATGCTTGACACTCCATGTCCTTTACAGGTGAGAGGCCTTTCCGCTGCACTCAGTGTAACATGAGCTTCATTCAGAAATACCTCTTACAGAGACACGAGAAGATCCACAGTGGTAAGTTCCTCAAGTTCACACCAACTTCAGCTTTCATTTCCTCATATCTGGCTTATTTGTTAGCAAGATGTCGATCATGCTTCACAAGCCACTTCTGTTTTTATTATAAAATTTGCAAACCAAATTTGTTTGGTCCACAACTTATCTTTCCTTTCATGGATGTCTGGTTTCCAGGAGAGAAGCCATTCAGCTGTGACCAGTGCAACATGCGTTTTATTCAGAAGTATAACATGGAAAGACACAAGAGAACTCATAGTGGAGAAAAGCCATATAAGTGTGACACCTGCCAACAGGTGCGTTTCATGCACGAGTTTCAACACTTTCTGTTTAGCAGCACTGTGTTCTCACACTTGTGTTCCTCCTTTAGTATTTTTCCAGAACGGACCGGTTGCTGAAGCACAAGCGGACGTGTGGAGATGCCATTAAAATGGGTGTGGATGGAGCAGAGCACGAGTTGGGCTCAGCAGGCGACGGAGAACACGGCAGCTACGGAATCTCTCAGGGAAATGCAGCTATGCCCAGCCGCAAACGGGGCAAGACAAAAAATGCTGGTGAGGGGGTTGACCGAAAACGTAAAAAGTCATCCGGGTCTATGGGTGCGACGCATAGTCAGGGGGCGGATGGTTACGGGGTGCATGACTTTGGGGTATCAACAACTTCATCTTCAGTCCAGCCAGGCCCCAGCATGCACAGTGAACACAGCCGGGCTCCCAAGATGGCCTTTAAGAAGGGGAACAGGAAGTCCCTAGAGAAGAATACTCACCCCATGGATCAATCCAAGCCAGGAGGCTTGGACAGCCTCGGTCTTCTTCCAGGTCCAGGGGCCAAAGTTTGTCCCAACAGCAGTAACTATGATGACGCCATGCAGTTTCTGAAGAAGAGGCGATACCTCCATGTGCCGAACAATGGGGGCGCTGCTTCTGGAGCTTCAGATTACGACGTAGGCGTCAGTCACCTGCAGTCGCATCCGACGGTCATCCAGGGTGTAGTTTCTGGGGTCCTAGATGGTGACGCCACATTGGGCCTCCTGGACTCGTCCCCTCTGGGAGATATAAAGCAGGACAAGTCTGGTATCCCAGATGAGGTTCTCCAGAGTTTGTTGGATCACTACGCTCACAAGCCTGACGTGACCTTCGACATCACCGATCCCCATCACGTCGAGCTCCAGCCAGCCGCCACAGATGCTGCAGACCCGCTGGGAACCGAGGGTGCCCCGTCGAGTCCCAAAGCCGTAATCATGCATGAGTACTCACGTTTTCTCCTACAGGCACTAGAGAGGACCAGTCACAGCGCAAGCTTCCCGTTGGGTTCCAGTCCTGGTTCTGCCGTGACTACCACGGGACCATTTACAGGCCCTAGCCCACTTTTGTCAGACAAGCATGTGTATACTTCCTCACCTCTCGAGTACTCGTTCTCTCAGCCTGTCTCATCTTCGCCCTCCCTTTTGTCTGTGCCAAAGTCCCACTTTGGTCTCCTCGAGGGCTCGTCGCCTCCAACGGGCTTCCACTTGAGCGGCCTGGAGCCGTCTGTACACACGCAGCAGCTCACACCTTCCCAGGAGCTCACTGAACAGCTGGACAAGCAGCACACCTCCCCTCCGCCACCTCCACACACCCCCAACACCAACGCCTACCAGATCACACCTCAGCCTCCCGACCTGGGTGGTCGGAAGGAACCGCAAGGGCTGAAAAACAGAGCCGCAGCCACCACTGGAGGATTCTCCCTGGCTGCGTCCCAGGACCTGGCCACGCTGGACCCAGCCAAGGCTCCTTATCAGATCGAGAACTTTGCCCAGGCTTTCGGGGCGCAGTTTAAAGGGGGCAGAGTGTCCCTGGCCTTCAGCAGTGACTCGGGGGGAGAGGTGACTCACCGCTTACAGACATCAGTCTCCGAATTCTCAGGGTATAGCAGTCTCTTGGCTGATGCCAGCAACCCAGTCAGCAGTGGCTCCAAAACCCCAACAAGCCAAAGCTACAGGTGAATGTGCTCCTGTGCCTAGATGCTCAGATGGAGGTTCCCTATTTTTATTTTGTCATGCTGTCTTTATTGTTGTTATTATTATTATTGTTGTTATTATTAATATTGTTATTATTGCTATTTAGTTCTCCTACTTCAATGAAATTGTCATGTTTTTAAGTAATGTTTTTCCTCACTGCCATTATGTTCATATGAAATTTCACCCTCCTTTGGCCTGCAATGCATTTCCCATTATTACGTTCTTCTTTTTTTCAATTTCCTTCGGAAATGCTGCGTAGACTTTTAGTTCTGCTCTGTTGATCAATAGACGAAAACGCAAGTGAAATTAGTTCTGCTTACTTTTTTCCAAATGTCATTCACGTACATTTTAGCAATTGACTTCACAAGCGTGTAAAAAATAACTATGAAAAAGCAATGGCAGGGAGTTGCCTAGAACTGAAATCGTCTGTTACAATGATTCAAGTATTACTCAGGAAAACGTGTGGACGGCAAATCCAGAAGGGTAGCAAGCATTCATCCGAGAGGCAGACGTTTTGCAAATACAAAGAGCTTTTTCAGGAGATTTTTTTTTTTTATTCTTCTGAATAAGTGCAACAAGTAGAAGATTAAAGCGCTGCCTGTTAAATTACACTGACACCACTTTCCACTTAGCTGTATAGAGATTATGGTACTTTTATGTCAATGTGAAATGCTCACATTCTCTTTCAGTAAGGGCCATATATATAAATATATATTTATAAGAATATCTGTATGTAAAATAACATATACTCTTTCTTGAGACTGGCAGGTTACTTGGAGGGGGATAAAGAGGGATTGAGTTTGTGAAGGGGGGCCTGTGACTGACAGCACATAAACCCCTTTCACCCTGTCCTTCTTTTTTCCCTTGGATTGTGAAGCCAAGGGCTATACACTAGAGGGCACTGCATGAGAGCGTGTAAGTGCCTCTTGGCACAGGCCACATCATGGGATTCTTCTGCGCCTGTCTGGCTTGCTCATCCCTCTCTCCCTCCGTCCACTCCTCATTTCCCTTCTTAGTCAGAAAGAATCCCATTTAGCACTTTTTTGATCCTGTTTATTTTACATGGTGAATGAATCTACCCAGGCTGATCACACAGAATGTGAACTGTGTAACTGACATGCTGTTTTTAAAAGAGGGCAGTGGACAGAAAAGGGGCGGGATTCATTTTAGGAAGCGTAGATTGTTGAAAAGGCCAATGATAAGGTCTTTCTTATGGAAAACGTTAGTTTCAATGGGACGTGTTTGCTGGAATTAAGGGTGGGCTTTTCTTGGGGTGGGAGCGTAGGGTGTCTTTTTTTTATATTTTATTCCCAGCTTCTCATGGATGTAGGGCAGGTTATAGAGGGGGATTTTTCTTCTTCTTGTTGTTTTATTTCAAAAGTATTGGGTTGGGGAAAATGTGCTTTCTGTTAAAATGGCCCGTTGTACCAAGCTTTTCACCAGAGGCGACTTGTAAAAAGTCCCGCTCTTAGTAATTTATATAGTATTGGTCCTAAATATACTGACTGAACAGTCCAAAAGGAATTCAGAAAACTTATTGCAGTGTGCATGCAGGGCAAAGTATTACCTTGAACTACATTTTTATATGTTTGATTTTGTACTGTACAAGTATTATTGTAATTTTTTTTTTTTTAACGATCAATAACTGTCTTCCATCAGCACTGTTGGCTGCTGTTACACTGTCTTTGAATTACTGTCATCTAATGTTGTTCCTCCTTTCATGTGTTTTACCTACCGATCCCCAAAAGGACAGAACCACATGCAAGATTGTTTGACAGGTGGACAGCCCTTAGGGAACACAAACTGACCACTAGGACTCATTTAGGAAGGTTGGGGTACTCCGTTCACAATAATGTAGTAATAATAATCACATTAATGAGGAGTGTGATGACTAAAATGAAATCAACACAGCTGATGTATTTATACCTCATATCACTGTTCACAGAAGCAGGGATATCAAAGAGTGACTGTATGTAGCATGACTGATGTGGCTACCGTTAAAAAACGCCTCAAGTAGTCCCTTTTAAACTTGACTTTTTTTATTGTAGGATTTTCTGTTTTCTTTCCTTTTCAGAGACAATTTTCTGAACTTCTGAAAGGTTCTTGAAGTTGGTCACTTTAGTATTGTTTCAATAACTAAGGTCAAGGAGATCCAAAGATGCTATGAATTGAAATCTAATTTTATTCAGATGCACAGGCTGTCAATTCACTTTGCATTTATTTTTGTTTTAAATTCATCCTGTGCCCTGCAGTTTTGTCCTGTAATTTGTTTTATGATTTGATGTGAAGCACAGCTGAAATATAATTTCTGGTTCAATGTGTAAAGCCCCCGCAGACACTGTTAAGCCTTGAATGATATCCTGTGTGGCTTGAATAATGCCAGCCATCAGTCTGTCAGTGGTTGCCACCATAAGGTTCTTTTTCTTTTTTTGGCTTCTTGCTGTATATTCCTGAAAGTATTTATTTTGTTTACATAGTTAATAACACTACTTTTTTTTTTTTTGCATGTACATTTTTAATGTTATCTTTCTTCCCCCTTTTTGTCACCATGCCAAATTTGTAGCTAATGATCTTTTTCTCTCCTGTCTTATTTTATTACAGATTCTTGTGATCTGATACACAGGGCTATACCTGTCCATTTTGTCTTTATTATTGATTAGGAAAAACAATAAAAATGCTGAGATCAGTGTGTTCGGATGCATGTATTTATTTCTAGTGTGTGATGTTACAAGATATTTTTATATACTGTATGGTACTGTAAGAGATCCACCCCTTCAGTATCTTGTTTGGTAAACATACCATATCTTTTTGAGCTGAAGGGCTTAAGTAAGTGGACTTAAGGTTCTGAAGCACTAATGCAAAAGTAGGAGTGCATTTGAATCTAATCTTGAGTCTTGCTCTGTCATCATGGTGACCATAAATCAAGGTACATGCCTCCATGGGTGACAATCAGAGCATTTAGCTTACTCTAATTACTTAAAATAATTACAAAGAGGCAAACCTTTCTAAAATTGACCAGCTAATGTTAAAAATATTGTTTTTTTTCCCCTTGGTATCTCATCACTTGCACCATCATGAGGTAATGTCTGTATCAGGGTGGAGCGTGGACTGTATGTTTGAGGTTTTTTATAGCTCTACCCAGCCCTGTACAACTTGGTTTTCAAGGCCTATCTGTGAAGTTCATTGAGGTTCACAGCCATTCCCACATAGCAACTTGCCCTTGAATGTGAATGAAGGACAAATCCGGTTAATTTTGGATCTCTTGGGGTTAGTATTAGCTTTTTAGCAAAAAGGTTTTTGAGGAAATTATAACTTTTACTCCGCAAGGATGCATTAAATTATATTTAATAATTCTAAAAATAATTATATTTCAAATGTTCTTTTAAACGTTGTATTTATCAAAGAATCCTTAATGTATCACTGTTTTCTCAAAATAATATTAAGCAGCACAACTGTTTTCAACGTTGATGATAATGCAGCAAATCTGCATACTAGAATGATTGAAGTGGAATAGAATAGAATGAAGACTGGAGTAATGATGCTGAAAATTCAGCTTTGCATAACCAGAAATAAATTACATTTAAAAATATTAAAATAGAAAATGCTTTTTCCCTTCTATCAACTTGAATGGTAGAAAATATGGAGTTTTTTTTTATGTTAGTAGGAATACACAAGCTATTGTATTACCTTACCTTTATACACCACAGCCATTATTATTGTTTGATTTTAAAAGTGTTTATGAAACATTTAGATTATTATCATTTCATATTATTATAGACTGGCCAATTTTATGTGCTGTTAAATGTTGATATTATTTTTAAATTTAATAGTTTTCTTAAAACTTCAAGGAAGTTTTAATACAATTATAGTCAACAGAGATATTTATGGCTCTGTTCGTTTCGGGGTAATTAAATTCAGCATAGGTGGGGGTGGGTGTAACTTTTTATTTTTTTTTACATTTTAATCCATAATATTACTTTTCAAATATGCAAGTATCAATGTCCAAGTATGTGAGAATCTGCAATGATTTGAGACTTGCTATTTAATTGTCTCAATTATACTGTTAAAATAACATATGTGTCACTCAAAAAGTTCAAAGTCCACAAACTGTTCTTTTGTAGCCATTTACGTCAGGCATTAGATGGACCACTGTAACTGCTATGAAAATTAAAAATAACTTCAAAATAACTTTAGCACTCATCTTAGCAGGAAAGTTGTAGATGTCTAAATTAGTATTGGTCCCAGTAAGCAAGGAGGCCAAAGGAGCAGCTTTCTAACAAAGATTTGAGGATCAAGTGGCCTTTGTTACTCTGGCAACCTGCATGTTATAAAGCCATAAAGGTGTATCATGTCCTGAGCACAACTGATCAAACAGAGAGTTGTCACTTGAACGAAGGGGACTGTCATGCATGATCGATTTGACTCATTGAGCTTCAAGCTGCAATGCTTTCTATTTTATTCATATTTTCCCATTTTGTGATAGCTTTGACTAAATTAGGAGGAAATCCCTGGTCTACTTTGAGACTTTTGTTTGACTGTATGTTGCTCAGTGTAATATGACAGGACTGCTCATATCTATACTCATCTTCCTTGTGCTTTTTTAAATAATAGAATGTCCCAATAGAACTGAAGTGAACAAGTTTACCGGAATAGGTTTTTTCTTGCATTATGTTGGCATCACTGAGATGGTGTACAGTCTCTGTCAACTATGCAATATCATGAGAATGCATTAAAAAGGTTTCTAACAACACCCAATGTTTACATTAACGGACGCTTCCATTTAAACCAGAACAATAAGGAAGGAGTGATATAGTTGGTGTGAAAATAATGGGCTTCCTTGTCCTGGAAAAGACTTCCCAGTGGATCTGAACTCAGAATGCATTTTTTAACTGACAAAAGGAAGTGAAGATGTATGATCATTAACGTCTATGTTTACCAAACAATGATTAAAACAGTGAATAATTAAACTTATATTATATTCAGAAACAAACAACAACCTTCAGATGCACTCCTAAAAACAAAAGCAGCTTAAATGAATTTGTTTTTTGTTATTTTATTTTATTTTATTTTGTACACTGTGTACTACTATTTTTAATGCTGAATGGTTCCCATGCTTTAAAACAGTTTTACTTTATAGCATGAAACCAAAACTATTTGATCTGATTCATGCATGGGATTAGTTTATTATTTTACTAAAATCGATTTGTAGATTCTTATAGGTTGTCAAAACTTTTATATATATCAATACTGCAGCTGTACAACTGTCAAGTTTACCATAACCTTAAGAACTTACTCCTGTTTTTCTTCTGCTTTAATTAGAAGCACAAGGATTCATCCCGGTTCTCTGTGTCCTGTCCTTTTGATGAATGACTGGCCACACATAAAACTTCTGTCACATGTATCTTAGGAACAAGCAACATATTCAAACATAGTAGTCTTGCCGAACAACCACTTACACCGTTTACTGATGGTACAGAACCCACTGAGGAACAGACAATGAATCAGATGTGTTCAAATCAATGGATTAGATGTGTTTCATAGAGTCTATTATTGAGAACATTTGAGATATGAGACAATGAGCATCATAAAAGAAGAATGACAGCACTAGTAGGCTATTTGATGCATTTCAGGGAACTTCCATTTCACAATTATTTTTGTTCCTGTTTCCTCATTTTACTTCCTGTGATACATCAATAACCAGTAACAACTGACGCATTGTATTTAAATACATGTTGTAGGTAAGATCACTTGACTTTGAGAGTAAAGCTTAAATCAATACCTGCTTATACTATTTGGGAAAACTCCTCTCCTCCAACTCAATCATGTTCCAATCATATTACAGGTTTCTTAATTGCTAACACACTATAATTGATTCAGTTGGCACAATTTCCCTAACCATTCATTCAGTTCTCAAAACAAAGACACATTTCTCAAAACTCTAAACACGTTTCGCCTGTTTTCACACACATTCCAGTTTACTTTCAACAAAAGTCTACATAAAATACATGATACGTTTTGCTCAAATAAACAGGTTTGAAAAAGTGCATCAACTAACTCTTATTATTAAGTCTCCCTGAAAGGTCATGTTTCAGTACCTACTATAAAAACCCATGAAATGTTCTGCATGTAAACATCTATTCTTTTAACTGGACAATAAAATATTTTCATATGCTGCACATTTCCCCAGTTCTGCTTCTCATTCTTGGAACAATGCCAGCCAGCTATCTCTCATAATGATTTGCCTGCCTATCACAATACTTGTTTGGATTCTCTCACATTTTCATAAGTATATAATGGAAAGAGTTCTCATGAAATATAAAGGCTAGGACAAAATGACCTTCCTTGTACTTCTTGTGTGCTATTGTGACACAACCCAAAATAGTTGAATTTTAGTCTAGTAAAGATCAATAAAGCTGTAAAGCCAGAATTAAATCACCAGTAACGAACTAACCTACATAACCTGCCGTGAGTAAAATAAAAGTAATGCATAATCTTAAATTGAATCAGGACTTATTTGGAACTCTTTTCCTGAAATGTTTTAGTTAGAATCCATCTAGTGATTTTATTTTATTTTATTTTTATTTTTCTGTAATGTTTGCAAAATGATGACATGGAATGTTCCCTTAATGTTTGCATGACCGAGAACGAAACATTTTTAAAACATTTGAAAAACTGGACATTATGAACGTTCCGAGAACATTCGTTAATAACATTTTTATTACTTAATGTACTTAATTTTAGTAAAACGTATTTTTAGTAGAACATATTTTTGGAAGCTGGGATGGAAAAATCAAATATGTGGTATGTCCCTCTCAGTCTTTACAATGGTATGGCAAAAGCACACCTCTGGAGGTGCCAGTTAAGAGAAGAAACTTCAAGTAAAATTATAACTGCACACTATACTGATACACTCAACACTGAATGACTTTGCATTCCTGCACAGATTAGAGTTTAAACCCTCCTCATTACACAAAACCCATTTGTCTTTATGACCATTTGAAATGTTAACAATATGGTTGCCTCCGCTCTAGAACTCTTTACCCTCTTATATAGTCTGAATGCCAGCACAGATCAGTCTTTATCACACAGTAAATGACACATCAGGGGAAGCTTTTGATTAGCTTTCAATGAAGTGTGTAGAATGTTCAGAAGATGAGAGATTAGACCTGGAAGGCCAAAGATATTCTCATTACATGATGTTCTGATCTGGAGGCCTCTATAGGAGGTGCAATATCCCTATATGGAAACTGTCTCGTAAAATTACTGTTTTTATGTGTTTATCATACCTAGGCGCCTTAAGAAGAAAATGACAAGGAAATATGTTCCAATAGAAGAAATTATGAACCAACAACTATTCAAGCTGGTTGTTTTGCTGTGGCATGTTAGTTGACTCTGAGTCTTGGCATGGCTAAATTTTATCTGTTGGAGCTTGGAGTGTTCACAGTCGTTCTTTTTATCACTGCTGGTTAAACAAAAGGCCTATGTTGCCATCCCGTCCTTGGCAATCCACAAATGTTCCAAAGTGATAAGAAGGAAGGGAGTGTCTGTAGCTACTTGATACAAGCGAAGGAGTTTGAGCACTAAATGTCAAGACATTCTTCTTTAAAATAGTATCAAACAGAGCGTTTCCATTGGAGATATGAGCACTCCCCACCCTTATTGTGACAGTCTTAATGAGTTTTTGAAATGAATCAGAACAATAAAGCTTTGACGTCAGCCTCTTTTCATATTGGTTTCCTTTCCATGGTTTTAATTTTTCATATTTGTTATTGGGGTTTACTCACGTTTCATCGTGGAGTCTGCAAACATCAAATATGACTGTTAAGTTGACATCTGCAGATATGCTTTAGTTCAAAGCAGGAGCCCTTTTATAGCCTTTATAGCCTTGAGTTAATTTTATGGAAAAGATTTTGTAAAATGTTTCACAATAAGGTGTGCTATAATTGTCCAACTTAACTGTATGTGCGTCAGTATATGGCCGATGTGACGATATAGGTTAAAAGATAATGGTAATAACTCTTTTATCACATAATGTGATAAAAATTCTGAATGAAGTGTTTCCGTGATAAAGTGATGGAATAAAATATGAAAAGGTTACACATACACACACACATTTAGTAGATTAAATATAGGTGTAATAATGAAAGGGTCTATTATTACTGTGTTTTTTACTCTTTCTCACATAAATCATGATCACATGCAAATATGTCATTGGTCACAGTTGTGGTCAATGGGAAACATTTTGAATAACTACCTGAATGGTTCACATTATAAAATTGTAGGTCTCAAATTAATGTTACATTAAATTAAACAATAGTAATAATGAAAATGCATTTATTCTTGGATTATTATTCTCCACAATCCACTATTGTCTGAAAAAAAAAGAAAAGAAAAAGAAAGTTAATTTATTGTTTGAAACTTTCTGTTCTTATATGGTTCTTACTGGATCTTTTAGTTCGTAGTGACTAACTGAGCCCTTTTTGACACTTAATCAAACCTACATTTGAGTTTCAGTGCTACAATGTTGTTGCATTTTGTGTGGTGTGAGGGTTAGTCTGTGGTGAGTCACTGTACCATGACTTTGAGACTCTCCGATGTTCATTCACACACACAGACACACACAGACACACACACACACACAAATTTGTGTCCTCATAAACCACATAAACATGCACACACACACACACACACACACACACACACTTGGGTGTGAGTGAGCACTCTTGGGATTAGCTATGTCACATCCTTTAGTTTAGTAGCTGCCATAGATATCAAATATCCTGTGTTTCATTCAAAATTTGTGATTTTGTGTTGCAGCTCTGATTGTGATCTTGCAGCCTTAATTTGACATTTACTGATCACAAACTGATACATTTACTTCATAAATTTCATTTAAATTTCAAATTATAAATGATCATTATGGCAGACATGAGTCCTAGTTAGACACATAATAAACTGGATATATATGGCACCACAGTATGTACCATCTGTCTGTTGGAGCTTGGAGTGTTCACAGTCGTTCTTTTTATCACTGCTGGTTAAACAAAAGGCCTATGTTGCCATCCCGTCCTTGGCAATCCACAAATGTTCCAAAGTGATAAGAAGGAAGGGAGTGTCTGTAGCTACTTGATACAAGCGAAGGAGTTTGAGCACTAAATGTCAAGACATTCTTCTTTAAAATAGTATCAAACAGAGCGTTTCCATTGGAGATATGAGCACTCCCCACCCTTATTGTGACAGTCTTAATGAGTTTTTGAAATGAATCAGAACAATAAAGCTTTGACGTCAGCCTCTTTTCATATTGGTTTCCTTTCCATGGTTTTAATTTTTCATATTTGTTATTGGGGTTTACTCACGTTTCATCGTGGAGTCTGCAAACATCAAATATGACTGTTAAGTTGACATCTGCAGATATGCTTTAGTTCAAAGCAGGAGCCCTTTTATAGCCTTTATAGCCTTGAGTTAATTTTATGGAAAAGATTTTGTAAAATGTTTCACAATAAGGTGTGCTATAATTGTCCAACTTAACTGTATGTGCGTCAGTATATGGCCGATGTGACGATATAGGTTAAAAGATAATGGTAATAACTCTTTTATCACATAATGTGATAAAAATTCTGAATGAAGTGTTTCCGTGATAAAGTGATGGAATAAAATATGAAAAGGTTACACATACACACACACACACACACACACACACACACACACAGGTATTCCATCAGGGGATATTTTTATACTTTACAAACGATATTTTCTATCCCCTTACCGTAACCCTACCCCTAAACCGATCAGTCATTATCACACAGTAAATGACACATCAGGAGAAACTTTTGATTAAATTTAAATGAAGAAAATAACAAGGAAGTACGTTCCATCAGAACAAATTATGAACCAACAACTATTCAAGCTGTTAGTTTTGCTGACACTTTGCTGTGGCATGTTAGCTGCCACTGAGATCTGGCACAGCTAAATTTTATCTATTGGAGCTTGGAGTGTTCAAGTCAGAACACAAAACTTTCTGCATTTTTCTTTGTTGTTGTTGTTTTAATTTTCACACTCGTTTCCCTGGCAATTCATTTAAATTCTGAGAGGTCTTTAGTCCTGATGGATTTTCTGACTTCACTTCCATCACTAATGTTATTGCAAATAAACTGCACATTGATGCAAATGCTCCAAACTGATGCAAATAAAGCAACACCTAAGCACCCCATATAGTAAGTCTAGCTTAGAACATTTAAAAATAGGAAGTTAACCATTGATTTCAATAAAAGAGTCCTTGTTAAATGACATTTTCTGAACAGACCCATGATGTAAAAACCAAATGTGTGCCACGGGATCTAATATTATATTTTTAAAATCTACAATAGGTACTAATAGGCTACTACCACTACTTACTATTGTTTTCATGCCTAACTGTGATTTTGATAAATAAATAAATAAATGGGTTATTCTACGAGGGTTATTTGTTAAGATTATTAATATATACCTGCGTTTCTTAATGTTGGGTGTGTTGGAGAAAAAGAAATGAATGTGCCATACTGATTTCAAGAGTCCTGTTTCGCAATCTAGCCCAAGTATCCTCCCCCCTGCAGCCGTATTTAACTCGCTGCCTCTTTGAAGCCACCTGTAGCGGATCTCTATCCTCCAAAGGAAATAAACCTCCGAAAGCCACCGAGTTAACGGAACTAAAGCTCTTGACACGGAAGACGTCTTCTGTTTTCGTTTTTTTTTTGTGTTGCATTATCAATAACTTTTATTATTATTATTATTTGTATGAACGACATTTAAATAGAGAACTATGTTACTGACGCATCGACTATTCCTATTAATATTAATCTCGACTTCAGGTAAGCCTGCAATCTGAGTGTGTTTGTGTGTGCTGATGGGTTTATTCCTATAGATACACAATAAGTAGTCTGTATTTGAAAATACATTTTATTTTGTAGATTAACCCACTGGTAATGATTTGATTTGTGCCGTGACCCACTTATGTTTTAAGGACCATGGACAGTCTCGAGTGTTAAAACTCCACAACTACATTTTAGTTTTATATTAATGCTCCTCTGGTGTTTGTAAGAGACAAAACTTTCGCCTGGCAACACCAAACAAAACGTGAGGCACATATGAATGATCCGTGGAAGACTTTGAAACGTGGAAGCGTTGTCCTTAGCTAACTCACCACTAATATTTGTCACCCAAATGTACTTTTAAGGCTCTAAAACTAGTTGCTGAAGCAATGACATTAAATAAAATATAAATGAAAGAGCACTTCGACTTAATTTCATGTGAACATTTTATATGGCTAATTTAAATAGTCTTATATAGTCAGTTTGTCCCTCTGAAAAAGCTCTGTGGCAGATATAACTGCCACATTTAGGCGTAATAATGAAAGAGTCTATTATTACTTTTGGGTGTGAGTGAGCACTCTTGGGATTAGCTATGTCACATCCTTTAGTTTAGTAGCTGCCATAGATATCAAATATCCTGTGTTTCATTCAAAATTTGTGATTTTGTGTTGCAGCTCTGATTGTGATCTTGCAGCCTTAATTTGACATTTACTGATCACAAACTGATACATTTACTTCATAAATTTCATTTAAATTTCAAATTATAAATGATCATTATGGCAGACATGAGTCCTAGTTAGACACATAATAAACTGGATATATATGGCACCACAGTATGTACCATCTGTTGCCTCAGGGCATGTTTGTGTTTCTAATAAAGTAAGTCCTACTGTGTGTGTGTGTGTGTGTGTGTGTGTGTGTGTGTGTAGTTCCATGAGTGCAGTAGAAGAATAGCCTGTGGGTATGTCCTGTCTTTATGTCTGGCACCAAGTCCAGCTGTGTCCCACTGGTGGACCTGTCAAAAACAGAAAGCAAGGGAAAGAGAGAATGACAGGATGGCAAATAGATGGAAAGATGTCATGTGTGAGGGAAATGACAAACCTGTGTGTGTGAGAGAGATAATATATAAAATATGGGATTAAAAGTATCCTTCATACACTGTAGGATTACTCTTTTTGAGTAATCATTTAAAATGATTAATCATTAGAAATACTGATTAATTTATGAAAGAAACAAGTGACCATATGTTCTCAGAAAGAAAGGTACAGAACTGTCACTGGGGCGGTACCCTTTCAAAAGCTCCTAATATGTACCATATGTACCAATTAGTTAGTAACATGTACTTTTAAAGTACCTATAGGGACTATCGCACCAGAATAGTTCCTATTAGCTTAAATACCTGCTTTTTGGCATGTTCGCACTGCAGAAACTGAGTATGTTTTTCGTTGTAGGAATGCCTGTATGGGGGACTAAATTAGCTCCTACTTCAGAGTAGGGTCAGCACAATAGGAACAACCAGTGATGTAAGTGGATGTTGACTGGCCTAACACATGCCATATAAAACACCTCCATTTTAAAAAGCAGTGTAAACATACAGTTTACATATACTTACTCCATGAACATGGAAAACAGTGATAGATGGACCGACACGTAAGTCCAGACCGCCCTGGTGGCTAGTTCCTATAATTACTCAGAGCAAAACCCCTAATGTATACCATTTAAGTGGTAAATTAGGTACAGGTATAAGGTATGAATGAGACATTGAATCATTTTCTAAACCAATTCATTCGAAAACACAGAATCATTCGTTACCAAAACAAAGACCACTAAAGTGTGCTGCTAATTGCTCTGATTTAGCTTTGTTTGCGACTTTTTTTGTTGTTAGTGGACATAGTAGCCAGCAGTATTGTGTCTAAAATTTAAGTACTATTACATACAAACTTCTTGTTTATTGAACTGTTGAAGCAAATTCATTCAATTCTGCTGCCTCCTTGATACTCTAGTATGTTGTCAGAAACAGACCTGGTGTTGTTGCTATTTTTAATGTGATGTTTTTGATACGTAATAAGTAAAATTATGTTATTGGACCAGCTGAGGTCTGATTATGCGGGGCTGGGAGACGACAGATTTCAGAGCGAGCTCTAATCCAGGCAAAGTGCTGTAATGCTAATCTGGGATAAAGAAGCTCTCAAACACAACCAATATGGTTAATGAATGCTGTCTGTTTTGTAAATTAAGGTTCAACTAAAATTACCTACTAAAAGTTTAAGATAAATACCAATTTTTCACTGCATACAAAAATATAGTTTATTTTGCTATTTCTGTCTCTTCTCTTCTCTTCTCTTCTCTTCTCTTCTCTTCTCTTCTCTTCTCTTCTCTTCTCTTCTCTTCTCTTCTCTTCTCTTCTCTTCTCTTCTCTTCTCTTCTCTTCTCTTCTCTTCTCTTCTCTTCTCTTCTCTTCTCTCTCTTCTGTTTTTGAGATTAGAGGTTGTAAATCTGCCCGTTTAATTGGACAGTACAGGCTCACTGTGCTTTAATTGGATATGATGATTGAGTGTGAGTTTGTCTAGTTTGTACTAGCGCAGAAGTGCTTCTCCAGGGAACCATCTGTTACCTAAGAGCCCTTTAGAGCCTTGTAAGCCTTTGTAAGAGAGAGTACGGGAGAGTATATGGCATTATAATGCCTTGTTGTGTGTACTAATGGCAAAATCAACACTAGTTTTAGACAGGAAGGGGAAGTGTGGATAAGGACCCTTAAGCGAGAGGAACTTAATTATTTAAAACAAGCATGTAGCTTAAGTGCTATCAAAACCAAATATATTAGGCTATAACTAGATACTAAAGAAAATTTGAGTGCTTTGTGAATATGAAAAAATCCCACTACAGTGTTAATGTGTTGTGAATGGATGCCAAGATGTTGCTAAGAGGCTTATAATGCTTCCTTAGTTTGTTAGCATGGTGGGGTTGTTAGCATGTTGCTACGTGGATTCTGGGGTGTTGGCTGCTGGTCCAAATTAAAAGTACATCAGTCTGATTACTTTTTATTAACAAGCCATGGGATTTTAGTTATCATACATGGCTATAGCATGTTCCTAACTTAAGGTTAGCAGTGTTCTTTAAATAGTAATATTAATAGTGATGATGTTACTTAATATTGTTATTTTAATTTATCTCACGGCTCTCTCACAGAAGTCAGTAATGTATTATTTATATAATAATAATAATTATTATTATTACTATTATTATTTAGGTAACACTGTCTGCAGTTAAATATTAACTTGTTTCATGAAGCACGTTTGTTTTTAGATCACAAAAGTCTTTATATTGTGAAGTAGTTCTAGAGCGTGCACCAGGAACTCTAAACAGAGGTCACATAGCTCCAAATGAGATAAAGCCATGTGAAGGAGGAACAGACGGAGTATGGGAGAGTATGTCTGTGCCATTAGAGAGAGAAAAGAAAGATAAGATAGAGGAACAATAATGTCACGGCTGAGTATGTAACAATATTAGAGAGGAACGGTAGCTAAATACTGAACTCGCGCAAGTTTCGGTGACCTCTTACATCTGCTTGTATAAAAGTACGGCAGATCGGGAATCTGTCTTCCTCTCTATAGGGAACTGTAAACTATTTTGGCCGTGTCACTGTATATTTAAAAATCGTACACAGCTGCCTGTGTTATCTAAATGATAGATACAGGACAGGTAACAAAGTAAATTTGTACATGACAGATGACATTTATCCAGGCTTTATGGCAAATAGATTGTGTCTAAGCGTTAAAATATCAACAATTACAAATGTACAAAAGCATGTTAATCTTCTGGATGAAATTAAGTAATACATTATTAAAAGGGGAACATTATTCTCAAAACAGTAGCTGTAGGATAAATCGTGCCAGACGCTTTGGGGTAAGATGTACCAGTGCACAAATACTACTAACGCTACTAGTAATAGTTTTTAGTGCTTCTAAAAAATCAAATTAAATCATTAATTTTAAATAAAATAAAATCAAAATAAATTTGATTCACTACATAATGGCATTCCCTGAAATTGTTTAATAGCAGGTTAATGATATTGCCTCATGATTCAGCTTACTTCAATTACAATGACACAGCTTGGGGTGTCACTAGATGAACTTGGAAAGTTGTGTCACTAGATGACGTTTTTAAAGGTACATTTTTATGACCCTCTTTTAGATGGCTTATTTTTATTCCAGCCTATAGCAGACATTCTTAAATACGTCAAAGCATATTCATTTTAGCATCTAAGTTCCTCATTTTTAGAGGACAACTTAGAGACATAGTTCACCCAAAAATGAAAATTGTGTCATCATTTACTCACCATTATGACAGTTCAAACCTATGTGAGTTTCTTTCCTCTGTGGAACATAGAAATATATTTAGAAAAATCACTCTGTTTTTTTTTTGTCCATACAAAGTGAAGTCATTGGTAACCAAAACTGTCTGTAGGGTGAGCAAATGATGACAGAATTGTAATTTTGTTTATTTTATCTTTAAGTAAAAAGTGGCACAACATATGCCACCCCCACCCCATAAAACAGCATGCCAAGTAAAAATGTGTCTGGGGAAACATTGGTTGTAAAAAATAAGTGAAAACATCAGATAACATTTTGTGTAGACTGACGTACTGTTCTACTCACACCCTTGCTGTAAAAAAGGAAGGGTGTAAGCAAACATCAGTTCTCTTTCCATTGTCGTTAAACATTATATGATTCTGTATATTCAAATACTCTGATTACCTGTTTTATCTGTAGCTGTGAAACAACAGAATATCTGGCTCAAACAGCAAATGCTGCAAATGCATACAAGGAAACATAATTTTACTAAATTAAAGTATATTTAACAGCTTGTCCGATAACCGAAACTCATCTTTGGCTATTGACTTGAATGAAGCCTATTTTCTTACTTAACAAAAGGCTTTAATTGAGCCACGGCGTGAATGGAGGAAATAATTAAACCGAGTGAAAGGGCAATCAGTGCGTGTCAGAGAAAGTCAGACATGGTCTTTGTGTTGGGTTACAAGAATGAGAAGGTTGCGTGTGTTTTAGAGAGCCAGGATGATAGTGAGTGTGGGTGTGCGTGTGTGTTTATCTGTGGGAGGTGGAGGTGAAAGCAGTTCGCAGTTGTTAGGTTTTCCTGCCGCCTGGCGTCAAGTTTGCTGCTTTGAAGCAGAGAGCCATAACTGCAGAAGATTCCAGCCTCAGGGCATCTCAGATCTGCCTGTCAACCCCCACATTTAACTCTCCCTCACACACACATAACCCATCTTATTTAGTCTTTCTTACACTGTCTACTCCTCAGTGTGTACGTTCTGTCTAAAAACATATCATTGGCTTTATAGTGGGTGTGTTTCTGTGTGAGAGGGAGTGAGACAAGCTCCAAGGTAATTTTATACCTGCCACACACACACACATTGGTTGAGAAATAGAGGTCTTACTGTACATAGCAATAGTGGAATTTGGGTAGAGGACAGGGTGTTGAGCCATCAGCTACTCAGGTAACAGATCAGAAGCAACCCGAATGAATGCTTACTGTGAGCGTGTGGTTGAATTCTAGGGTGACCCTTAAAAATGTACCATGTGAGTGCACTCAGCAGGCTAGGAGTCTGTATTTAGTTGACTAATAACTTAAACTGACCTTAAAGTTGTTGACCCTTAGTGCCACACCTCTTATTTGATATTTTTTAGAATGCTTAATGAGCCAGTTGCATAGACGGTGTCTTAAGAGCTAGTTTGACCAACTAGCAGTAGACAAGGTTTAATTCAATTCAAATTAGACCAATCTTTTTGTAAATAAATTTGAAGTTACAACTAGTCTTGAAGAAAAAAATTACACTATCTATGAATTGACAGTACTGTTGTTAATAAAAAAAGTCTTTGTATTCTTAAATCAAAATGTATGACTTTCCTTTTCCATTGACGTCAGTTAGGATTTGACCAATAGCCAACTAGATATTGAAATAAACATTTTTGTCATGGCAAAGCTTCAAAGAATTGCTTATATTTTAAAAATATTTTAAATATTTTAAAATAAAACTCTGAACCTTTGCTGTCCAGGCCACGATTACCTTCATATAAGAGATCATATGTTTTTAGTAAATTCAATTAACTTGGTACATTCCAGTAAGATCACATCTGACCTGACCTCTGCTCTGGTCAGAAGTGAAGTCTTATGTGCTCTTTGACCCAGACAGCCTCATTTCTCATTTAGACTTAGACTGGTGCTGGTTTGAGCTAGAACTGGACCATACTTAACCCACTCATCTCGTTTGTGTCTGGAAAGGATTAGCAAGTAGGCTAATCACTCTAAGTCAGGCACTGCCCTTGGGAAAACACACAAGATGTGGTATTAATGTCATGTTTAATACAAAAATGCAGGATTATAGGTTATTTTTAGCTGTATATATCTGTTTTATACTTTACATAAAATATATATATACCATGTCAATGCCATGTTGGTATTCAATACTTGAAATTATGTAATTTTTTGGGAATATCAGTTATGTTTTCACTTTTTGTCCTTAGAATGTGATAAACTATGAAGAGAAACAGATGTTTCTAATTTGAATGTAGTGCCTCTAAGTCTGTGGATCTTTACCTTTAAGCAATGCTGCCTTAAATCCACAGGAAATGTTAACATGTATCATCATTTGCTAAAAACATGGATCGCCTGAGACATGGCCCATGCACTGATATGTATTCTCCATCTAAAGGGATCCATTAAACCAGATTTACCTTTACAAAGGTCTCTCAACATGGATGACATTCAAAGCATTATAGAAATTTTTGTAAGACTACTTTGTTTCAATATAACTGATTTAACATTTTATAACTGAGCTACATTCATAAATGAGAATTATGCTCACATTTGTATTAACTTTTGTCATCCACTAAGCATGTATAAATGTGACTTTATTGCTAGGTAAACTGTGATTCAAAGAAAGCCTATGTGTGAGTGTGTAGGTGTGTGGAAAAAAAGTTAATAAATAATTGGCCAGTTATGCAAATAGCATGAGAGTTCTTAATTTTGATGTCTTTCTTTCTTTGTCAGTGTTTGGATTTCTGACTAATTTCAAAAGCAAATAATAAAGTAATATTAGAAGCATAACATCTGTATGTGTGTGGAGTCCACTTTTCCTTGTTAATCTATTGTTCTTTTGTGTGTGGTTGCTAAGTAATAAGACAAGCAGCTTATAACTGCAGGTGACAGTCACTCTATATGACTGTTTGTTCTTGGAAACTAATGAAATTACTAACAGGATGTGATGCATGTTTTGTGTAGTTGTTGTGTTTGACAGTAAATAGTACCTTATTATTGCTGAATTAGTAACTGGGTGAGCCTGATTGGATTACATGCAACAGATTTACAGGAACTGAATGAAGATTGAAACTTGTGTTCCAAGATTGTATGCATTTGTTGTATATATATGTATCTCATCCCATCTGAGCAATTTTGTCTGTATTTTCACAGCTGTAATAAGCACACCAGGTTCATCTAGCACAGATTCAACCGATAATTCGACAGACAGCCCAATCAATGCTACCTCTACTGCTACTGTTGGTAAGGGCACGTTAACTACTTACAACACAAAACATCAGTTAGTTCAGTCAATACAATTTTTAATTCCAAATCCTCTGTTACAGATGAAGTTATCCTATCAGACATTATTATATATACTAACACATACACAAACCTCAGCTACTTCAATAAATTATTCTTGTTAATATGCTGTTGCTTCAGAAGTTACATGAAGCAGAACTGTTTCCTCATAATATATTTGATCTTTCTTATAAGTGAAAACAATTTTGTAAAACATTCTTTCGTTTTCTCATTCAAGTCATTCAAAGCTCAGTCATTCTGTCCTCAGACTTGTTACTCAAGCTTTGCATATGCTTCTGAAAACAATGTAACTAGAACCCCTCTGCATTGTTCAATGTGCACCATTGCTAATTTAAGAACCAAATCCTTTCTCTTGTTGTTTTACTGTCTTTTGTGTATTTAATGAAGTGAGGATGGGCTTTAAGCATTTTAGAGGAACAGCTACTTCCTACAGCTATATAGAATTACTGTCAGAGACTATTTGCACTTAGCGCAAATGCGATATATGCTATGGATTCCGCAATGGATTCTATTTACACTATGTAAAAAATAACAGTATTTTTGTTTTGTTTTTTGGAATAAGTGTAAATAGTAGTTTGATGCTATTCTTAGTACAAATAGTGGCAGATATTTGCACCTCAGTATTGTACTATATTATAGGTGTGAATTCATTTTATTTAGGACAATAAAGCCCTCCCTACACCTACTCCTAAACCTTACCCGATAAACACTTATCATTAAATACCCATGGCTAACTTTAGTTCCACTTTTCAAATATTTCCTTCATTTTTATTGAAAATAAACGCCTTTCCAATCTGATATGTGATGGGTAAAACAGGAGAAGAAAGAGTTTGGTAAAAGGCGGATTCTAACCTGGATCGATTGTGTCCAAAGTCACTGTCACACTCTTTACTGCCTACTCTGCCAATACTGCTATTTGATTGGCATCTTTTGTCATGATGTCAAGCCAAGCCCAACCACACAGTTGTGGGCAGAGTTAGTCCAAATAGCCTCTGCCAACAAGGCGAGCTATTTACACTTAGTGTAAATAGACACTCCGATAAATATTAGCAATTCAGATATTTGTGACCCTGGACCACAAAACCAGTCATAAGGGTCATTTTTTTGAAATTGAGATTAATATATCATCTGAAAGCTGAATAAATAAGCTTTCTATTGACGTATGGTCATGATTAGGATAGGACAATATTTGGCCGAGATATACAACTATTTGAAAATCTGGAATTTGAGGGTGCATGCAAAAAAATCTAAATATTGAGAAAATCGCCTTTAAAGTTGTCCAAATGAAGTCCTTAGCAATGCATATTACTAATGATAATACATTTTTGATATATTTACGGTAGGAAATTTACAAAATATCTTCATGGAACATGATCTTTACATAATATCCTAATGATTTTTGGCATAAAAGAAAAATCTATAATTTTGACCCATACAATGTATTTTTGGCTATTGCTACAAATATACCCGTGCTACTTATGACTGGTTTTGTGGTCCAGGGTCACATTTGTTCACTCAGTGAACTCAGTTTAGGTTGTTTTGCAACCTATGGCTGGTTCACTATGGAATATAGGATGTTGGGTTTAACCTAGCATATTCGTTTGATTTATGCTAATTCAACTTATACTGACTGATACCTCATCATCAGCTGGGTTGTATGCTGCATTTATACCTCAGACGTTGTATATCTTAGCTGGGAACAATGTCTGAGATGACCATATTGCAGTACAAAAGTCAGAAAATCAAGATGACCGCATCCATTGGTAGCAATACCAGTCTATAAAATACATAAAGTGCATAATACCGTTACCGAAGTATCATGTCCACGTTTAGAGGTTGGATAGAACTGTGTGCACCACTGAGTTTCTTAAGACTAACAGAAGTGATAAGAAGCAATGTATTACTTTAGTTTCAGTTACTGTTGATGCGTTGGACAGCCATTTTGCATTCTGAATTTGAGGTTGTTGCGGTTCCTCAGAGTTGCAACTCTGACTTGAGGGGGTGCTCCAGTTAAAAGTTCCTACTAGGAAGTCGGAATTTCTGACTTCAGAGTATAAATGGAACACTTACCAGGTGGTGGAGGGGTGTATTGTTTCAACTGTCAGTGACAAAAAAAAAATATACGCACCTTCAGATTAAGTATGTCTAGCATTCATCTATTGTGCACTTCTTTAAGTGTAACAGGCTGACACAAAAACAATTGTGAATGGCTGCATGACACATGCTCAGATTTTTCATTTTATGCTGCTTATCAAATCTTTATGCAATTATCTTTTTTTCTGTTTCTGATTATGTGTTTGTGGTCGTCAACAGCAGTAACAAGCATTCCATCTGAGAATACAACTGCACCATCCACAAACAATGCCACCACCCTACTGCTGTCAACGCATGCTGGTAATGTCACATCTCCACCTTTATCTACTCAAGGCAACGTGACAAGCTTGTCTACAGTTGCACCAGAAGATACTACCAGTTCATCAGTGAGTACACCAGGAAATGCCACAGCTTCACCTGCACCTGTAACAACAGCAGCAGCCAACTCCACAAGTCCACTTGTACCTACACCAGAGAATGCTACAAACCATCCTGTAACTTCACCAGGCAACGCCACAACTACTCCTTTACCTGAGCCAGGCAACAGCACAACCCTACCCCAAACTACAACAGGCAATGACACTAATCCTCCCATTAGCACACCAAGCAACAGCACAGCTTCACCAATTACAACACCAAGCAATGCCACAATTACAACACAGACTACATCAGGTAATGCTACAACAGCAAACAATGCAACAACTCCACCCTTAACCACAGACATTTCAAATCTAACTACACCAGGGAATAATGCAACAGTAAATGTTACCATACCACCCCTAACTACACCAATAAATGCTACTGCACCACCTCCAACGACACCAGTAAATGCTACTGCACCACCTCCAACTACACCAGGGAACAATGCAACAGTAATTGCTACCACACCACCCATCACTACTCCAGTAAATGCAACTACACCACCTTCAAACACATCAGGGAACAATGCAACAGTAAACGTTACCACCCCACCCATAACTACACCAGTAAATGCTACCACACCACCTCTAACTACACCTGTGAATAATACAATAGTAAATGTTACCACACCACCCATGACTACACCAGTAAATGTTACTATGCCACCTTTAACTACACCAGAGAATAATGCAACAGCACATGCTACCACACCACCCATCACTACTCCAGTAAATGCTACTACACCACTTCTAACTACACCAGGAAACAATATAACAGTAAACGCTACCACACCACCCATCACTACTCCAGTAACTGCTACTACACCACCTCTAACTACACCAGGAAACACTACAACAGGGAATGCCACCACACCACCCATGACTACACCAGTAAATGCTACTACACCACTTCTAACTACACCAGGAAACAATGCAACAGGGAATGCCACCACACCACCAGTAAATGCTACAACACTACCCCTAACTACACCAGGGAACAATGCAACAGTACACACTACCACACCACCCACCACACCACCAGTAAATGCTACAACACCACCCCTAACTACACCAGGGAACAATGCAACAGTACACACTACCACACCACCCATCACTACTCCAGTAAATGCTACCACTTCACCTCTAACTACACCAGGAAACAATGCAACAGGGAATGCCACCACACCACCCATCACTACACCAGTAAATGCTACAACACCACCCCTAACAACACCAGGGAACAATGCAACAGTACACACTACCACACAATCCATAACTACACCAGCAAATGCTACCACTCCACCTCTAACTACACCAGGAAACAATGCAACAGGGAATGCCACCACACCACCCATCACTACACCAGTAAATGCTACAACACCACCCCTAACTACACCAGGGAACAATGCAACAGTAAACGCTACCACACCACCCATAGCTACACCAGGAAATACTACAACAGGGAATGCTACGCCACCACCTCAGTCTACACCAGGAAATGCTACTACACCACCCATAACCAACTCAACGACTGGACCCACTGTTTCTACTACTAACCCAACTAACACTACAACCACGCCAGGTGTGTTTGAATTAATGTGTTGTGTTATTGTATATTGCGGAGTAATTCTGAGTAATGAGGAGTTCACAATTGCATTTAGTAATTTCTCCCATTCATAAACACTGTGACATCGTTTTTCTTTTAGCTACCTGTCCTGCAGTGCCCTGCCCACCACTCAGTGTCTGTGTGAACTCCATCTGTCAGTGTGTGACAGGAACTATTCCTTTAAATAATGCCTGTGTGGAAAGTACGTATCTGATGCCAAGCCTCTTGGCAACTTATCCTCTTTCTTAGACTGGACCATGGGACATTACAAAAATCCTTCTATATTTAATTGTTTATATAAATCATATGATTACAGTGATTATTAGGAAGAATCTTTGTAGTAAAAAGACTAACAAGACAAATAGTGTAAGCACTTTAACACCCCCACTCTCTCTCCTCACATCCTGTGTTTATTTCCAGCTAAAACCTTCCCTAGTACACTGCGGGTGAACCGCACTTTTGAAGAGGCTATGAACAATCCACAATCACCCGAATTCCAGAAAACTGCTAAAGAGATCATTGCTGCGGTAGGTCACAAACTTACATTACAATCTGGTCTATTAACTTTATTTAAACTTTTATTAAAATAAATATATATATTTTTTAGCTATATTCAGAGTAAAATTTTAATTATTGCTCTATTGCCTTGGAGCCTAAATCATTATTCTTTCTTCCTTTTCGCCATAGGTAAATGAAGTTCTGCGTAACCAGTCAAACTACATTAACAGCACAGTAATTAGGTTGATGTAAGTGACCCTTTGAAACACTTCTTAACCACAGCTCTTACACATATGTATCATATTTGCAGAATACTAATCTCTGTGTAAATACTTACAGGTCTGGCAGTATAGTGGCCACAGTAAACAGTTTTTTTGAGCCCAATTCTCCAGTCACACAGGAATTGGTTACATCTGCCATGAATACTGCTATAAGTGATTGTGAGAAGACAAACTGTGGCATTCTTGCTAATGCTCAATACACTGGTGAGTGACTTGAAAAGATGTATTAAATAAGCTGTGATATGAAAACAGTGAAACAGATGTATTAATGTCCACATAGAAAATCATACAATACATTATACTAGTTTCACAAATATACTGCTCTCACATAATTATATAAAACAATTTTCGTATTAAATCATTCTTTATTTACATTTACTTTACTTGACAAACATTTAAAACATTAATTCCTGTTTAGGCAACAAATTACCTTAAGAGCATGAAGTATACTTTGTTCATTTCCACAAAGATTGGTAAAGCAACTTCTCTTGCAGTCGTATTAAACTGTAAAAGATTGTTCCTCAAATAAGAATACAATACAGTGCCAAACATGGGGTGTTTAGAGATGTTTAGCCATGACTCTGGCCATGTTTTGTAATTGTGAACATTTTAGATCACATAAAATATCTTTCTATATCCCTAAAATATACTGGAGTTTTCTATATGAAATACTTTCAAGATGCTGATATCACTACTAACTATGCTACCATCTACAACTAATTAATTATTGCTAAACAATTTTATTAAATATTGAATTGTTATGCACATTTGTTTGCAATTATAATGCATGTAGCTTTTTATGACTTCATATTAAATAAGAGAATACATTAAATATTTATATATTTAGAAATTAATTTGTTACATCGCAGGACCATTTAAAATTAACCAGTGAAGGTAAACATGATGAAAACTTAAAGGACCTAAGATAAACACTTTCCGTCATGCATCTACCTAAACAACTACCTACTGTCTCTTTCTTTATAGCAACCAATCTGTGTGAGCAAGATCCTCCTCCTTGTGATATTAACACTACATCGTGTGAGGCCAAAGATGGGACAACTGATTGTATCTGCAAACCTGGCCATATATCTAGTCTTTACCAGACCAGAAGCTGTAGAGGTGAGCATGTGTCTTTATTACCCCATTTGTGTGGACTACCATGTGTGTTTGTGTGTGCATATCATAATCATCCGTGACCTCCGTGAAGAATGAAAACAATTAAGAAATAAAACATTTGTAAAATAAATAATTAATACAGTTTCATGGTGAGAAAGATGTGTTTTTGGCTGGTAGATTTTCTTGATTCAGCAACTATTGGCAGGTATAGGAATCACACAAATCTGAAACAATACATAGTTTAGTTCATTGTTTTTCTGTCTGCTCTACCATCTTTCTATGATTCAGTCTATTTACTCTCTATTCTTTTCACAGTTTGCCCTAGCGGCTACAAAGCGCAGGCGGACACGTGTGTTCGGTGAGAACGATTTCATTTCTTTGTTCTTAATAACACACTCTCCTTTTAGTAGAACAAAGTCTGTGTGTAATTTATCTGTTCTAGTAATGGGAACCACAGTCATACCTCAAACATGATGGTTCAGAAAAACTAAATGTCTTCCTTGTTGTCACAAACTGAACTGCTCTATTCAATGGTAGAGTGTATGATCAGTTTATTTGTTATAGAAACTACTGCCCCCTTGTGTCAAGGCAATATTGCAACAGTCACATAACTGCAGATAGGCGTCAGCATGTTCATGTCCTTTTTTTTTTAAACAGATGTCCATTTGGCTATTCTGGATTTAACTGTGATGACTGTAAGATATTATTATTACAGTATTTCTTGATTTTTAACCATTAATGTAATAATTTTGTGTATATGTGTGTGTCTAATGACCTTGTATCTCTGTGTAGCCTCTTTGTTGGCTCTAGTGGTGGTGGCGTGTGTGTTAGGGGGAATTCTGCTCATTGTGATTTTGGCTGTACTCATCTACATCTGTGTGACTCGAAGGTGAGTGTTCATGAGACGTCAGGTATAGGACGTGCATTTGAATGTCTCTATGCGAGACTTTTATGCTCGTTTATGGATGTACATTTCCCACTTGTTAACAATTTGTGTGTTTATTGTTTATTTCACAGCAAGAAGAAGTCAAGCAGCAATTATTACAACAGCCCGTACCCTGCTGAGGAGTTCCAGACCACGTGGCCCTCTCAGGACATCGCCCATATTCCACGAGCTACTGTGACATCTAGTTCCAGCATTGATGCCACTGGCAACAGTCTAGAGATGTCTGAAGGGCCGGGCAAGAAAGGCCACAGTAATGGATTGGTGAGTACCTCCTTTCAGTCAAAACTTCACAAATAATTAATAACCAGTTAAACCCTTTGGAGCAGTTACACTTATCTTTAACTTACAGTGGGTTTTGTATTGTTTCAAAGACAAGCTTATGTGTGGACTTTTTTCATTGAATAACTATTGTAAAATTAAATTACGCATATACACTACTGTTCAAAATTTGGGGGCAAGTTTCCACAAAAAACAATTATCAGCACAGCTGTTTTCAACATTGATAGTAAGAAATGTTTCTTGAGAAAATCTACATATTAGATAATTTGACTGAAAATTCAGCTTCCATCACAGGAATAAATTAAACTGTAAAATATATTCAAACAGAAAGCATTTATTTTAAAGAAGACATATTATGCCCCTTTTTACAATATGTGATATAAGTCTCTGGTGTCCCCAGAATGTGTCTGTGAAGTTTCAGCTCAAAATACTCCACAGATCATTTATTATATCATTTTGAAAATCATATTTTTATGATATGTCACCTTTAAATTGTAATAATTTTCACATTTTTACTGTATATTTTGATCAAATATGCAGCCTAGGTGAGCATAAGTGGTCTTTCAAAAAACCATTACAAATCCTTACAGACCCCAAACTTTTACAGTAGTGTAAAATTATCTTATTTATATATTATATTCATATTATTATTTTATAGTGCTTAATTTATATTATGAATTATACCTCTTTTTAAAATAATTTTAAGAAATGATCCCACTGTAAGTTAGTTGAAATTCTTCCATTAACCCTGCATGTGCCCTGTGTATCTCATACTAACACTAATAATAGTATCAGCCATATGACATCTATATCACACCACAAACAAATACAAAATATTTTGTTCAATCAGACCCTTGTCCATTTGCAAATCTTTACTCTGCCTGCCAAGCTGAACTCCAATGACATACTCCTAATTGATGCAAAGATTGGATTATGCTAATTTTCTTCAAAGTATTTCTTGACTGAATGACTGAAGTCCATTATGAGCAGATGTAGTCCTAACAATGCCACATATAAAGAGGGTCTGTTGCATTAGTGAAACAATTGCATTTGCGGTTAGCGGAAAGCTAACAGTAGTACATAGTACTTGGGAAACTGGGCTATCCCTCAGTAGATTTCATAACTTTAATGTATGAAATCAGAATTTTATCATAATGGATGTACACGTTTTGTGATGGGTTAGCTCATAAACAAACCTCTTTGTGTGTGTTTGTGCACGTATTTGTGGTCGTTGTGTTGTGTATGTGGTATCCCGTATATGGGCTTGATTTCTCCTCACTCCAAACACTATGACTATAGAAGATTGGAGGAAAGGTAAGTCACCGACTCCTGGTGTGTCCTGGTGTGTCGTCAGGGACTGTAAAAGGCAGAGATGGTCCATGTATATGGACCATATATGAATGTACAACATACCGGCTGTGGTTCTGCCTTAAACTTAAAAGAGCCAATTGCATGATTGAAATGCTCAATATGATGGCTTTAGGAATGGAAGTCCTGTCTCACAGTTAAAATAGACAGCTAAAATGTTTTTAAATAAATGCTATTTTTTGAACTTTCTATTTGTCAAAGAATCCTGAAAAAAAAAATATATATATATATATTAAGCACAACAATTGTTTTTAACATTGATAATACTAAGAAATGTTTCTTGAGCATCAAATCAGCATATTAGAATGATTTCTGAAGGATCATGTGACACTGAAGACACTGAAAGCTGAAAATTCAGCTTTGTCATCACAGGAATAAATTACATTTGAAAATAATAATATTTTAGACTAATAATATTTAATAATATTACTGTATCAAATAAATGCAGCCTTGGTGAGCATAAGAGACTTATTTCAAAAACCATAAAAAAAAATCTTACAGACCCCAAACTTTTGATATTTGTTATTAATTTCCATAAATTGGGGTATTTCACGGCTTGTATGGTTGAAAACTGCGTTACAAATATGGCCGCCAAGTGAACTGACTTGCTTTAAAAGGACCTTGGTCTCCAAGTTCTTTCATGTAAAGGAATATTCTGGGTTAAATACAACTAAAAGTTTTAAGTGTGTACCTTCTGCAGCATTACCATTACCAAAATAATGAACGTAGCACCAACAACACCTTTGTCATCACTTATGTATTTAACCTAGAAGGAATATTCCTTTATTTTGCTTTTATTTCCTCTTTTCTCTTTGTGACTGGCATCATTACTTCCCATTGCCGTATATACACTCTGATTCTGAAGTGTATTACTGTTATGTCCGGGATGATCTTGATTTTGATCTCTGGTTTGACCTGTTTGCATGCCATCATAAGCTTTGCATGATTTTTTTTAAGCAGGTTATTGTGTTTTTCCTGCATGCTGGTATTATAAGATGAGATGTGCTGAGAGAATGAAGCGTTGTGGGTTGTGTTTACCTGTACGTGGCTAACATGGACTATCATTTCTTCTGCAGTCGGGCTCGTATGACCTCAGAACAGATGGCATGAGGACCTTTAAGGACATAAACCCCACACGCTACTCTTATCTGGTGGGTCATGAAAACCCCTACTTCATACAAGGAGATGAGAAGAAATGAGGAAAACAGCAGAGAAAGCCAGTGGACAAGAAAAGAGTGCAATAGCGACATGGATTATAAAAAGGCCTTGGATCAAAATGTTTCAGGAACATTAACACTGTCAAAACCATACAGCTGATCACAGACTCAAAGTATATACTCAAACAGCATTTGAGAGATACGTTTATATATATATATATATATAAACTTTTTACAGTTTTTATTCCAAATCCCTTTCACCCAGGATAAAATGCTCTTTTCTTAAAAGTACATTGATGATTGGGTTTTTTCTAAAAAGGTTCCTGTGGCTCAGTGGTAGAGCATTGCGTTAGCAGCGTGAAGGTTGTGGGTTCAATTCCCAAGGAACACACATACTGATAAAAAATGTATAGCCTAAATGCACTGTAAGTCGCTTTGGATAAAAGCATCTGCTAAATGCATACATTTTACATTTAATTTCTACCACAAGCTTGATAAACGTGTCCTGTGTATGACAATGTGAGATGAATGCTTAACCACTCATCTGTTGATATCTTTGTTTTTTGTCACTTATGTTTTGTCTGCAGATTTCATATTCAGAGTTTTGTTATCTGACAGAGATCATGCATATGTTACTGTGGTTTTCAACTCAAAATACGTTATTATAAAGGATGTAATATTAAACCATATTTTGGCATATTTTATTTAAATTTCTCATCTGTGGAAGCGATAAGGGCAGAATATCCAGTAGTTCTGATGCATCTAATCTATATTCTGACAGTAACTGCACTTTGTAGGAGAGAGCATGTCTTGTGTCTATGTGTGTGTGTGTGTGTGTGTGTGTGTGTGTGTTTTAAGTTTTATCTATCACAAAGACAGAACTGGTACATTCAGTTATGAATTTTTGGTTGATATCTCCTCCAAAGAATTAATTTATTTTATGCCAGGACAATGCATGCCACCAGAAATTGATCTCTGTGCCTGACTGTGATGTTGTCTTTTGAATAGGAGAATTATGCAATGACGAGGAGTTAACAACCATGTCTCCTCTGTAGTCGTGCCAATAATTATATTTATTTAAATCAGAACATGACATTGTTTACTCAGCTGTCTGTTTGCTTCATATATATACTTATTTATGTGTAACTGGAATATTTTCTATCTGTACATAAAGCTTTTGTAAAAAAAAAAAAAAAAAACCTCCTATAAAGTATAAAGTGATTAATCTTGTTCTGTATAATGAAAGGAAATAAATGAATAATAAAGATGTAGTTATCTACAATTTGTCCAGTTGTTCTTGTATATGTCGCCACACGTGCATATACACATTAATTTTTTTTTTCAGTATTGGCTTATTACCTTTTTTTAAATACATAAGCGCAGTAGTAAAACATAGCATTTGTTTTATTTGATTACAATCATTATAAAATCACATTTTCAAAATCCATGAAATCCATTGGTAAATTCTGAAAAGTTATAAATTAGTCAGAGGAAATCGGAAGCCTCTTGAATATAAATTTTAAATAAAAAGACTATCCATATAAGAGCAAATAACAAACACTATAAAAATTGAGGTTTAGATATACTGGGAAAACAACCATTTAAAAAGATGACCTTTTATGCCCCGTGTGTGTGTGTGTGTGTGTGTGTGTGTGTGTGTGTGTGACAGAGGGGCTCTTGTAAATCTTTTCCTTAGAGTCAGATCAGGTGTAACAGATGTCTCTGAATTAATTAGACAGAAGCCCCAAAACAAGCCTTTCAACCCTTGACGACCCCTGCACCCATTAATGAGGGGCTCTAAATGAAGAACATCCATATTATTTATGCAAGGCTACTGTGTCAAAGAGGACCACATGGCCCTATCAAAAACACACACTGGGTTACACACACGCCTGCTATTAATCTAAGAGTTCATGTTTAAACTTACTAGCAAGTCTATCCACATTTGTATTGAATTTATTCACATTGTATTTGGTATATTCATGTTATAATCATAACACGTTCATGTCAAAAAATTTCGGGTGGCTTAGTTTAATCACTCATATCTGAGCTCAAACATACGGAAGCGTATTGCATTCACTTGAGGAAAAAAAATCTACTCTGTTTTTCTGAATTAACGAGTTAATTATCTCAGAATTACGAGATAATTTTTCATGAAAAAAAAAATTTTGCTCTGTTTTTCTGAATTAACGAGTTAATTATCTCAGAATTACGATATCTCGTAATTCTGAGATAATTAACTCGTTAATTCAGAAAAACAGAGTAGATTTTTTTTCCTCAAGTGAATGCAATACGCTTCCGTACAAACATACCGTGGGCTTACTTGTAAAAAATGCTTCTTTTTTAAATTCAATGCAATATTTTATTACAAGTTACACTGTAAGAAAAAAAAAGTAGAAAAAGCGAATAATATCCTAGCAAAAAATTGCCAGTATTTTTCCTGTTAAAGGAATAGTTCACCCAAAAATTCTAATTTTGTCATCTTTTACTCACCCTCATAGCCTTCCAAACCTGTATGAGTTTCTTTCTTATGTTGAACATAAAGAAGATATTTTGAAGAATGCTGGTAATAAAACAGTTGTTGGTCCCCATTGGCTTCCATTTCTTTCCCTATGGAAGTCAATGGGGACCAACAACTTTTTTTGGTTCTTCAAAATATCTTCTTTTGTGTTCAACATGAAACTCATACAGGTTTGGAACAGCATGAGGTTGAGTAAAAAATGACAAAAAAATGAAATTTTTGGTGAACTATTCCCTAAAGTTTAAGGACATTTCCAAACACAAAAAAACACAAAGCGAAATAATTCCTGTGAAAATACAGAAAATAATCTGTCTGTCTATCTATATTTTTAAACACGATGAGGATTTTAAAACTTTCTGTTCATGCTCAGGTTTAATTTAAGGTTTAATTTTAGAAAAATCCGATTTTTGATAAGGTCTTATATTTTAAACCTTTTTGTACCTAAGATGAAACCCATACTACAGCTCAGGACCACACTAAACCCAGCTCTGGACTGTGGATTAATCCATCTACATGTACAACAAAGAAACAGCAACAATCTCACATACACTCACATGTAAATACATTGCATGCCCATGGAAGAGAGAGGAGGGGGATGGGGAGGGCCTCTACCTCCATGTCTTCCATCTGACTGTGTGAATGAGTGCTCAGGCTTTCAGAGCTGCTCAAGTGAACACAATAATCTAAATAGAGAAAAAAAGACACAGAGGGTGGGAGGGGGAAGAGATGCCCACTGGAGGCAACACGGCCCCTGCATGTCTAACAACACCCACCTGCTTCTGTCTCTGGTGACATAATGACAGCAGAGGGAGAGAGAGGGAGAGAGA